GAAACGTTAAATTTACGATAATGATTTTGGTTAACTAATTCAAATAAAAAACGAATATCGGTATTCTATTTTTGATTTAACAGAATAAGTTTTCTAACAATTAAAACTTGTACACGTTTTTCCTTTTTGATTTAAACACGAGATTGGGAGAAAAATCAATTTTTCATCGTTGTTGTAAAACGGAGTTGGAAAGGCACAAAAAGTCATAAATCGAAGGTACGTTCTTTGAGCGTAATAAAATTATCACCGCATTATCATAAACAAAATTTACTTTTCGAGTGCATAAACATAACACTTGGAAAAGCGGTAGGAAGGGTATTTGATGAAACACTGATGGTGGAATTACGTGGGTAATGGAACTTTTTTGGAACGTTTCTCTTGGTTGACTCACTTGGCCTGTCAGTATTATAGTTAGTGAAAATAGTCATCTTTTTGACTGCAATTTTTGGCTTACTGATCAAGAAGGTTACTTGCGACGGTGAGGGGAGAGCAGAGTAGCAAAAGGTCTTCATTTGCAGTAAAGTTTTTACAAATTTAGGTGTTTAGTTTGATGAAAATAGTTCTTTAGAATTCCCATCAAAACTGCTCAAAGATTTGCTTTATTTTTAATACTCATTGATAACTCATTATGCGCCATGCATTTGAAACGGTGAAGGCCTATTAAAACGATAATGACGATAAATACAGATAAAAAGATTTTTATTACCAGTATGATTAAGTACTTAATGAACTCAAAGTATGAAGTGGTAAATCTGTAGATGAGTAAGCTGGAGAAAACCAGACATTCGGAATCTCAGATCTTTAGCAGTAAATTGAAGCCAAAAGTTAACAAATGTCAATTACAAGCACCCATCTATAATACGACTAGCTGTGACTCGGTGGTGGCGTTACTAAAGTTGCCTAGAATTCTTGAAGTTCTTGCCCTGCGCATGTGTTTGCACCAGTTGCTAGAAACTAATTTTAATTTTGCTCTAGCAGCAACTTTTCATTAGTGAAAACATTTCGAAACTCATCCACAACTGTGGCTGGCGGGTGCCGACTGATTTGTAATGAACACTCAAATGTTTACAATACTGGCCAAGGGTAGAGAAAGAACTGCCACTGGAAGAGAGTTTATTATGATTAAGTAATTGTAAAATGTGCTGAAAAAACAGTAGGTGAGTGTGTGGATCCATTCAAAATGCACATTTTTTTCTTATTGCTAGGAAAAGTTAATGGAATAGTTGCCAACTGCAGTAACAGTTCAATGAAATGCGAAAGTTACCAATTAACCCTCAAATAGTCACAGTAGTGTGACCAAAGAAAACAAAAAGGTGAACTCAATCAATAAACTTTTTTGGGAATATAACTTTCTTATCATTTATTAGTTCGGTCTGTCGTACAGAGTACATTTTTGCATGGAAAACTTTCATACCTATTTAAAAAGTTCATTTAAATTTTTTTATCGAATAGTTCAATTCCTCAAATTAACCACTACTTGTGTCTACATTTTATTTGATAGTAGCAAAAATAGCGATGAGAAAAAACTGCTGAAGTAATAAATGTTAATCAAAACAAACTAAATCTGCGAAATTTTTAAGAAAAAACGCACGAAATCTTGATTTCAACAATACTGTTTGACTAGAAAATTGTAATTACAATTCGTAGACTGGGCAGGTATGGCTAAAGTTAAATGCAGTGCACACCTTACAGATAGCAGGTATACCGCTGAAGTGGTAAGCTTAAAATAAGGAAGTGATATTGACTTGAAATCCATATTAGATTACTATGTTTCCTATAGAAAGCGGAGACAAAATAACAACTAAAGCTACTGAAGCGACTTCGGCATTTTAAACAGCGCAAGAAACGTACGTTTTTAATACTGTTGAGGACTCCTCAGAATTTCTTGATACCGGCGCAGTTTCCCCGTTCATTGGAAACAATAATAATGACAAAAACAGTACAGCAGTTACTCCAGCAGAATGCCAAGAAAATTTCCAGTTACAGCAAGCAAATTCATTACATCGTCTTAAACGCATTTTTAGTAATGTCAGGTAGCTAGTGTTGCTCCGACTGTCTGTCACACGAAAAAAATCCAACTGCTTCTCAATTCGACTTCTGTTGTTCAAATGAAGGCAGAGCAATTATTTCAAAGGCTGTAAGAATATAGCGTAAACTGCTTAAGTTTAGCTCTTTCCTGACTATTTGATCTGCAGATTGAAGCTCAGCCTTCTAATTTGCAGTTCACACCGCAATTTTTCACAGTGATAAATAATACAGTGAACTGATTTTAGTCCTGACTTGTTTTCTACAAATATTTCTATGCAAAGATAAAAAAAAAACTTGTGCAGATGAAGCAGTTGTCTTATTACAAAGTGATATTGGCAATTTTTTCCAAAAATAAAAAGGATACAGGTCGTTTGAGTCAGTGCAGCGAGAAATCAAGTTTTGCTGAGGCTAACATGTTGAGAAAACAATGAAAAGTAGAAAGTTGGCCGAGAACGACATTTAAACTTAAAAAGCTGTGACGGTCACAGAGAACAAAAGCAATAATAGGTGGTAGCTGAAATATATTAAGAACATTACTGAAGAAGGCAATCATCGATGCTCACATCAGGGAATGATCGTATAGTCGTTGACGTTTAGCTGATAGCGCAATGGCCACTATATATATGTACCTGTAT